TCTTGGACCTATGGATTTCAGGACTTATACCAGTAGCACCCCAAACCCTATCTTTTTTTTTGGTTTCAAATCAGAAGTGATGCCATCAGCTTCCCTGGGTTTTGGACCATGATACTTACACTTGGTCTTTCCTGGTTCTCTAGTTTGCAGAATTTCTCTACCTCCAAAATCACATGAAACAATTCCAGTAATAAATGTCTAGAAACATTTATACACACACACACATAGACCTATTGCTCTGTTTCTCTGGAGAATGCTTTTACACGGGGGTTCCAAATGTCTGTAGGATCAGCCAGAGAGCAGTAACTAACACATCTGAAACACAACTTTGGTCCTTAAACATGGGAAAGTAATTTTAAAGACAGATCATTTTGGTTTTCTCTAAGCCTATCAAGGCTAGATTTTCTTGTCCATCCTGAGCCCTTTATACCTAATGACCTGGTTCCAGAAAACTTTTTACTAATTAGAATTATAAGATCATAAAATAGAACTACTAAATGCTGTAAATATCTGATTTTGGAATAGTCCAGTTCCAATGGTCTTGAAACCACAAGTCTACATCTAAACACTTTAAGGATCAAGTAAATAACCCTCAGCTTTTTGGTAGAAATAAACTATGTTTACAGGAAGAAAAAGTACTCTTCCCTGATCACTGTCTCCTGGAAATACAAAGGAAAGGTGGACTTTCCAAGTCATTGTACCTGGGATCTTCTCAACTTTACATGAAACCAGAAGTTATATGGACATTATAGAGCACAGCATCACCCTATTAAAAAATTTATGTGGAAAAAGCCTGTAAGAGTATGTAATAAATTGTTAACAGTGGTTAATTCTAGGCAGGGAGATGGAGTTAGGAGATAGGTGAAAAGGATGTTCACAACTTATGTATTTCTTGTGCCGGTGTTTTTGTAAAAGAGGGATGCCTATCCCAGTGCTGATGTCTGAAGTCAGTAATCCCTGCTACCAGGACAAAATGAGTAGCTCACAATGAGGTGGCAAATCTTAAGCATGTTTTTTAAAGATATCTATGCGATAGAATGCACATTGACATTACACCAGACATTAAATCCTGCCTTCAAGCACGGTGATGAGGCATGAATACAAATACAGCGACACACAGTAGAAAGTGATTTAATAAAGAGGCTTAGATGAAACGTTATGAGAACTGGAAATATAATTCTGAATGAAAACAAGGGAGGCAGAATGTTATCCAAGAGATGAAAAATAGAACTACTAAATGTTGTAAATATCTGATTTTGGAATAGTCCAGTTCCAATGGTCTTGAAACCATTGTAATTGTAAATGGTTATGAAATGTTTAAACATATGGCACACTTATTCTTTAAGATATATTTATAATGTCATTACTCTAGTGAAGGATGACCTGTTGTTCCCAAAGTTCAATCACTCTGCCCCATGATTATATTCCTGCCTCAACATAAACATATTTGCCTATTGATATATCTTCCTCCATTAGACTCAGAGTTAAAGGCAGAAAGCATTTTATGTATATCCAGAGCCTGGCACTTGTGTCTATACCCTCCAACCACTTGTTGAATTTGTTGAACTTTGTGCTAGTTGTTGGGGTGGAATACAAAATTGAATAATCAGATATAATATCTACCATTGAGGACACTAACACAAAAATCATCATAGCACAGTCTCAATAATGCCTTGTTAGAAATGTAAGGCTATGGGAATTCAATAGGACAAAACCCAGTGTAACAGAATGAAATAGAAATACCAAAGAGATGGTACTTAAGCTTTTTTGGAAGGTGGAAAGAGGAACAGGCTACAAAATGGATTCTGTGAAGTAAAAGCATCATCCGTTCAAGAACTATAAACGGGGGGAATTTGAAAATTTTTAAATGACCAAATGATGACCAGGGCAGAGTCTCGGGCACTTAACTTTCATTGAAGTGTTTCCATTTTAAAATAATAGACATCTCTGGAAATAAATCCAAGGTTAACCCATGATTAACAGGGGAAGCTGGGGGATTTATTTATCCTAGAATCAGTAACAACCTGACCAGCAAGTTATTTCCTGATCATTACCCCAACCAGAATTTCAGTGCTCTGGCTCCCTACACAAAAGAAATGAATCACCAGTTATAAAGCAATATCATAATTCACTGTGAAATTCCAAGGGCCTGACCTCAGGGCCCTCCAAGCTTCTGCCTGGAGAGACCTATGTGAGGTCCCTCTACCTCTATCAGCTAGAAGCTAGAATACTTCACTACTTGGTATGCACTCTTCCCCTCAATGTTTAATTGTATCCTTTAAAATCAAATGTCATCTAGGCAACTTTTGCTTTAATTTCCCTTGTGACAGAAGAAATGAGAAGCAAATAATAGGTTAACATGACCCTATCCTATCACCCTTTTCAGAGGGGCTCACAAGAAACACAAAGAGCAAAGATGTAATAATAATGGCTACCTTTTTTTGGTGGGGGGGCATACATTTCATCGAATCCTCAGGGACCTGTTGTGCTTTGTAATAAACAGGTGAGGAAACTGAGGATTCAATTAAGCAAATCATCTGAATTTGTTTTGACAGCTGAAACGTGAGTCTAGGGTTAACCAATTCTATCCCAGCAACTTATATAATTTATATAAGCTCTAGGTTATGGTTTCAAACCTATTTTAATATATCTATATTAATCCTATTTAAATATTTATTTTTTAGTTGTATTTGAACACAATACCTTTATTTTATTTATTTTTATGTGGTGCTGAGGATCGAACCCAGTGCCTTGCATGTGGTAGGCAAGCACTCTACCGCTGAGTCACAACCCCAGCCCTCTATGTCAATTTTGTTGAAATATTCACAGAATTGAAACTTTGGGACTTACTGGGTTACTTAATGTAGCTTCCAAACCCATTCTTTATGTTAAACAAAGCTGCCTCTCAATAATGTATATGCTTCTCAAGAATGGAGAAAGGAAGTTGCTAGTGGAAATACTAATTGAGGCAAGAAAAATTAACTATATTATAAAAAAAAAAAATCCAATTCTGCTTGCTTTTCAGAATTACCAAGAAAATAACTACCACCTCAGCACAAATGACTCCATTCGGCCACACTACCCACATTGCCCTGGTGATCTGATCCTGCAGAGCCATGTCATGGGTACAAACACTAAAACTAGAAGGGTCCTCATTCTAAAGCTTATAGCAGGAACTCAGAAGCAATAATACGTAAGGGTCTGATTTTATATGCCTTTTTCTTTCTTTATGATAAATCTTATTTACATAAGCCCTAACATTATCACATATATTTGAGGAGCTAGATATAAAGTGGACACAATGATGAGAAAAAATTAACAGTAGCACTAGACTAAATCCCAGAAACTCAAACTCTGGAAGGAAATGTGCCATCATGAAGTAGACTGATTGGACTGGAACTTCTGGAAATTGAGGCTGGAATGTTAACTTCCCCCAAACTCCCAGGTGATTATGTATGATTTTGCATACTGAGAACAATTACTGCCCTGGAGAGAGGTCCTATCAGAACTATTCAAGCAAAAATTTATTCCTGTAGTTCCCACAGAATTAGGGAATTATAAGAGTCAGATGTCTTTAAAAGTACCTCTCATGCATCAATAACAAATTATTTTAAATGGGTGAAAACACATTTGTTTCAAAAAAAAAACAAAACATAACTATAATAATGTCCTTGACTATGTATTTTTCAACACTTCTAATTTTCAATGAATCGATATGTATTTCCCATAGTCTATACATCATTTTAAAACTCTGAATTTAGGAAGTGATACTTCACACTTATCCCATCACTACTTATTATATTAGGATGAGTGGTCACCAATGCTTGGTAGCAATTAAGAATCCTTAGGTAATCTCTCTGAATTAATAAGATGGGAATTAAAATTTTACAGCCCAAATCACATAGACTGCATAGCCAAGTCAAATCACTGTGCTGGAATTCAGATGACTAAAAGCCTAAATTTGGTAAAAGAAATAATATATGTATTATTTATGCATGTGTACTGTTCTTATGCCTCTGAAGAATTTGTACTTTCCAATAAGGTTATTTTCTTCTTTTCAATATTCTAAAAGCAGTGGCTGCCCTCTACATTTCAGCTGAGCTTTGGGTAAATTTATTTTACTTGCTGAATTTGGCTAAGCTAAGAGAAGAAATCTCTTTTGTGTCCCTGATAATAAAGTGTTGATTTAATTAAAATGAACACACCCCAAAAGAGCAGAAGAGTAATAAAATGGTTCTTTGCAAGCATGAAGAGATAGGAAAACACCTCTAAGATTTTGTGAACTGCATATGATTTTGGTTTGCAATAACCTCAATTATTAATGGGGTCACACCCCCATCTCGTTGTTATTTAGTTATAGGATTTGAAGTTTTAAAAGTTTTCATTAAAATCTGGTGGGTCTTTTAGAAGCCAATAGTTCAACCTCTCAAAGCAAAACAAAATGAATTCTAAGCTGAGAACATCAAAAAAGTAACGCAAACAAATGTGTGGAGTTCAAAATAAACATTTTTAATTTTTAAAAAGTGTGAAATAAGGTGGCTTTTTCTATTTTTCTTAATAACTTGAAATTTTTGCACATTGGATCATGTACCAAAAAAAACAAGCCTATAAACAAGTCTCATCTATGATGACCGCTATCTTTTGCAATGTAGAACTGAACACAAATTGTCAAAAAGTTGATTTTTTGGGCTGGGATTGTGGCTCAGTGGCAGAGCGCTTGCCTCACACGTATGAGGTACTGAGTTTGATCCTCAGCGCCATATAAAAATAAATAAACAAAGGTTAAAAAAAATGATTTTTCTTTTTGCATTTACTAAAATTAAACTGCAATCTTTCTCCTAACAAATGACTGTAAAGTTAAATGATATTGCACCTTCTAACCTAATTCTACGCCACAGTCATTTTTATCTCAAATCTTAATGTTTTGTCATGTACGTTAGACCAAAGTGGTGATAGTATATTTTAAATCTTAAATTGCTTTTAAAAGGATGCATCACAGGTTCACATTTCCACATCTATAACTTTATTAACAAATAAAATACATGCCAGCATGTTTATATATGGGCAATGACATTCCTATAATAATGAATGGCACATTATCAACCAACAGTTGAACTTTTTCAAGAATGAGGTTTTAAAAAATAATATACTAATATTTCATATGACTATTTGAATTAAATAATAAATGATTAAAATAACATTTAACAGCAGTTAAAAAAAAACATAAAAGCCACTGTTCACTATTTACCATAAGTTGAAGTCATTCAAATACAATAACTTCTATTTAAAAAACAAAACAAAAAACTATGCTTTTTTTACAGGCCAAACAAATGGCTTAGAAAGATTCTAACAACTGGTTCCTGTTCCTACCCCAGTTCCTTCTCTCAAAGGGTAGTAAATTAAGGTAGTCACTTCCCAGTACAGTGAACAAATATATTTAGGATGATCATATAATTTTTTTCTCCAAATTAGGACACTTTTGAGAGAAGAGGAGGCACTATTTAAGCCAAGAAAACGGGAATAACCAGGATTGTTCTGAGCAAACTTAAAATACATAGTTAAGTACAGTATTAGATTCACTGTAAATACTTTTGTGCTTTTTGAAACAGTTGGAAAAAAATCTATTAAATAAATAAAAACCCTGATTTTTTTCTCCAATTGGATATTCTGGACTCCACTTTTTCTGTTATGAGAAGTTTAAAAATATTGTGATTATCATTTTAGCAGGTTAAAATGTATGAAAATTAAAGGCATGTCTAAAATGACATATACTTTATAGGCTCAAAATAAAAGGCTGCAAATTAGTATTTTTTTCTAGTAACAGATATTTTCATTTTAACAGTGTAAATAGGATTTGTTTTAATTTTAAATTTCTAAAATATCCTGAATACACTATATAGAAAAATGTATTTTGCCTTAAAATAGTTAATAGCATAACTACATAAAAATGGATTATCCTAGCAATTACTAGCTTAATCAAATGATAGAAATAATTTTAAACATTTTTGCATTAACTTCCAAGCCACATTTCATATGCATTCAAAAAATGTTTAGACACTCTAATAAGAGTACCGATTTTCAATCTTTAAGGCAGAGTGCAAAGGCGGTCATGTGTTCCCCAAACATAACAGTTATTTAAGCTCAAGCTCACAGGAAATGAAGGAAGGTATGCAGTATTTGAATAAATCTGGAAGGGAATATTAAGTTTTGGAAAAGAATATTTTGATGCCTCTGCTTGGATGATGAAATTAAAGGCTACCACTGAATTATGTCAATTACAGAGGATGATATAACATGCATACATGAACCTTAACAAATTTAGAAGAGGAAATCAAACAAAAAGTGAAGTTTTAATACTGGATTAATAGTGATACTTCAGAAAACAAGTATAAATATCATAAAAAATAAAATGAAATTTTAATAAATTGATGTTTGATAGCTGAGCTTCCTGATAATTGAAAACTACCATATGTCAAAGTTTAATTTCATTTAAAAATTATTAAAAGAACAAAGTATAGGTCTGTGGGAAATGAACAGAAGATATGAAGAAATCCAATGGGAATCTGTATATGTTACTGGTACATTCTAATTTTAATTTCCAAATTGGACAACTAAATTAAATATTTTGTTTACCCCATGCTATTGTTTTACTTTAAGAGGTATAACACAGGTACTTTAATCAACAATAAAAAGCCTATTGCAGCAGAATAAAATGAATGAGGGAAAAAAAATGTAGGAGGCTCAATTAGCAAACAAAAGTGTATGTTTTATTTATCAAAGACAATAAAAAAAATTAGAAAATACAGAGAAATACAAAAGAGATTAATAAAGCATTTTTTTCCAGAAATGGAAAATGTCCCTGAACAATCAGGTGTATCTTTTAGTAGTAGCGTCTAATAAGTGATCAATTTTATGTTTTACATAGCTATATTAAATGATTTTTATGTTTAAGGATAATATAATTCCCATCCTTTTTAATGTTGGCATTCAAAAGCAAAGATATAACTAACTTAAAAGAAAAATAGATGAGAAATAAAATGATTTGCAAGGTGCAAAATGTAGTAGCTTGTGAATGTACAGCAGATTCCAGTTGCAGTAATAGTTACACACTCTCATCACACATACATACTCTATATTCCACAGATAATTTTCCATAATTTGAAAATAGGTATTTTGCATATCTCAATTCCGGTTATATATATATTTTTTTTTACAAATTAAACCTGTAATCTTAAAGCAAGGAGCTATTAATAAAACAAGATTTTATTTACTAAGCTTAACAAATTAAATATCTGAAGAAAGATTATTACAGTGATATTGAAAGATACTTTTATTGGCTTTAAAAAAGACAAATGTAAATGAGAATATCTTATTTGAAAAATTAATTTTTAAAATTGGCTTAAAATTTATATATTTGCTACACTCTGTTCCTGCAAGAATCTCTAAGATGTGTAATCCTAATAAACAAGCTTCTCATTTGAAAATCCCTAAAACTATTTATGTACCTTAAACATTTTATTTTCTTATAAAGGACAGTTCGTAAATCTCACTTTTCTTAAGACTTGCCAGAAAACAAATTCTATCTTTAACACCCAAATTTCTATATATGTTTAGTTCGCTTAATTTAAAATTAATGAAAACATATCTAGACATAATTTCTAAGAAAAAAATGTAAAAAGTAATTATGAAAATGGTTATTTACAGAAAGAATTTTCCTAAATAATAATATGTTCAAATATGTTCAAAAATCTAACAAATCCTTTCTTAATCAGCTCTTCAGGATTTAATGAACGTTATATATAACAAAGTTTTTGATGTGTAGAATTACTAGATGAATCTAAGAGCCAGAAACTAAAGCATTTGACATGGTTAATGATTTTATTTTCATTATACTAATGGTCAAGTCAAAAGTCAATGGCATTTACATGCTGGAAGACTGTGTATCACTCAACTCTTTCAATTTCATCAAACACTGATTAACCAAATATGAGTAGACTTTACCACTACAACTTTATGGTTTCTTTCAAGGATATGCAAATCTTTAAATGGGCACAAATGCAAGTGTGCAAAACAAATGAAATATAAATAATTAAAGAATGAACAGAAATGGCTTTTAAGCATAAACCACCCTGCCATTCAATTTTGAAGCTCCATCTTTTCTTCACTAATTTTTCTTCTATTATCAGTAGTCTTCTATCCTATTAAAGTTGTAGGTTTATAGATGATCTGAAAATTTCACATTGGTATAAGAAAGGAATGTTGGGCTGATGCAGTCTAGAGATAAAGAAAGAATTAGTCTTAAAATGTATTAAGTTGTACTTTATCTAAATCACAGTACAATAAAAACTCATTTTACAGCAGCATTACATCAAATATATAATGTTCTTTGGATAAAGATAACAGACTATTTCAGAATATATTCTAAAGTATAATTCTTCTATAGGCATCATCAAGAAAATATATTTAAGACTAATTTCACTACTCACAAAACAGATTAGTGAACTTTGCCTTTTTATCTTAATACTGACAAATTCTCAATGTCTTGTTTACAAAAACATTTTACTAATTAAAAAGAAAATATAATACCTCTGTGGGCAGGTGATGCAGGAACTTTAATGAAACACTTAAAGTGATACTTTAATATGATCCAGAAATACATTATCGTCTTTGGCAGAAATAAGGAAAGTATACATGCTTATGCATGACCCATGTAAGTTATAAATAAAAGTTAAGCAACCAAATCACAAACCACATAAATTTAAAAAAAAAAAAAAAAAAAAAAAACAGGAGCTGTGGTTGTGGCTTAGTGGTAGAGGACTTGCCTAGTATGTGTGAGGCACTGGGTTCTATCCTCAGCAACACATACATACATACATAAATAAATAAATAAATAAATAAATAAACAAACAAACAATAAAAACAGGGCTGGGGCTGTAGCTCAGTGATAGCATGATTGCCCAGCACGTGGGAGGCACTGGGTTCAATCCACAACACAACATAAAAAATTTAAAAATAAAGGTATTGTGTCCATCTACAATTAAAAATATACATTTATTAAAAAACTAAAATCCTCCCTATATATCCACAGGGGATTGGTTCCAGGACCAGCCCCCCCTTGGATACCAAACTTCTTAGCTGCTTAAGTACCTTACATAAAATGGCACAGTATTTGCATATAACCTACACACATCCTCCCATAAACTTTAAATCATCTCTAGATTACATATAATACCTAATACAATTGAAATGCTATGTAAATAGTTGTTGTACTACGTTGTTTAGGGAATAATGACAAGAGGGAAAAGTCTGCACATGTTCGGTATAGATGCAATTTTTCTTTTTCAATCCATGACTGGTAAAATAAACTGAAGCAGAACCCTCAAATAGAGAATATTTACTTGGTTACAGCAACCCTGAAACACTTTATCCTTATAGTCCTTTCAATCAGAAATTAAATGTTTCAGCAGATATTTTGTTTATGAGTTCAAATACTTTTTTTAAAAGTTTAAAGAATTTATAGATACGAAGTATTTTGGCACTTGATTTCAAAATAGAGAATTCAGATAAAAGGTATTTATATATGTACATATTCCTGGCTGTACAACAAATAAATGCTATGGCTACATATCAGTGTCCAGAAACACACTGGATAACTAGTAAGAGTAAGACAGCCTCTGCTTATTGTTTTATACTCCCATTTATTCGTAATAGCCTTCATTTTAATACAAAATGATACATGTTAAGAAAACAATAACAGAACTACTTGCATCATTCCAGATTGTTAAAACGCCTGCATGACAAACTGCTTTTTTATCTCAGATTTAGTCTTTTTTATTCACCAGACATTTATGTAGATTTCACTTTTGTTTTATGCAAAATGCCCAACACTTCAGTGTGTCAGATTTTGTTTTTCAGGTATGCAAGTTTTGTGCTGATGGTCACTTCAAACACAATCTATGAACAATCTTTAAAAAGAAGTTTAAAAAGTATGTGATTTAAAGTTTTTGTTTATTCATTATGTATTTAAAAATTAAAATTTATGAAATTCAATTTTGAAAATCAAAGGTACCTTAAAAAATCTATAACTTATAAAGTTTCATTAAGCTGCTGACAGTATAAAATGTATTAGCTATGCTAACTTTGAGTAAAAAATTATAAGTACACGTTAAGCATTTAATATGTATCTAGTAAATGTGAGTATAGAAAAGAAATAACAAGGTCACTATATTTATATTCCTTACCTCTATAATAGGAAGAAATATCTTGTTCTATGAGCTGCTGCCATACTTTCAGACATGTTTCTGACTTTTAGATAATTAACAAATCCTCTGAAGAAAAGAAGCAGGCCTGGGAAGATTGAAATAATTCATATATATTATGTTATTAAGCATAAAGGGGCCTCATAAATATAAAATAGACAATTATAAATAAGACTCTTTTGGTTCAGGGAAGTTAATCTTCAGGGTTCCATTTATTTTATATTATGTTTTACATTAATGATAACTCCACCATGAGGAAAGATAATGAAATTTTTCTGCCATCTATATTCTTTCAGTTTGGTAAGCTTTAATGTACCAAAACTGAAGTAATGCAAATCCAGCTATGACAATCCAGAATTACATAAAAAACATACACCTGCTAAGTGATTTCTTTAAACAGCAAAATTTCCTGTTGCACTTAAACTGATTCAATGAGAAATCTAATTTTATAGCAAATTTATCAATTAATATAACGACTGTGTAAACCAAGACATGTTGTTTTTATATGAAGCATTCAAAGGAGAACCTATGCATTTAGTTGGTAAATAACTGTAGGGAAAAAAACAATACTATCAAGCAATATCAAGTGCCCATATCATCTGTAATATATACATTTGAAGATAAATTTATTATATGTGTATATATTTTTTTTAAAAGAGAGGGGGGGAAGGAGGGAGAGAATTTTTTTTTTAATATTTATTTTTTAGTTTTCGGCGGACACAATATCTTTGATTTGTATGTGGTGCTGAGGATCGAACCCGGGCCGCACGCATGCCAGGCGAGTGCACTACTGCTTGAGCCACATCCCCAGCCCCTGTATATTTTTTAATTATAAGTTCTTTAAGTAATAATTAAAAACTAATATATAACAAAAATTAAGAAGAGTCAAGAAAGAAAGGTTGAGAGGCAGTCACTCTAGTAATTTCTTGGATTATTAGACATGAGATTTCTACCTCAGTTTTTCTCCTTTGTAAAACAGTATTTTGATAAATACTAATTTATAGCAAAGATATTTTTAACAATTAAAAAAGCAATGCCTGTGAAATGTTCAAAGCTTCAGATGAAAAGTATAAGTATAAAAGCACTGCCAGTATTATTAAAAGTCTTTAAAATATTTTAGCATATAATTTTTAGAGATATATTTTATAAATTTATAATCAGAAAATGGTAGGTAAAATAACAAATACACAAAATATATGTGTGTATAACTTTCCTCACCAAGAGAAAGAGTTATCTGTAAATTCAAAACATAAAATCCAAAAATAAATTTGTACCCCAACTAAAAAAACAGTAATCAACACATTAACAAAAAAGCTTATCTGTAATAAAGTGGAGGAAAAAAGGAGAAGAAATACTCAATTAAATTTCCAAACTCCCTAAATAAATGCTAGATTATGGCTCTGATGTGGAACTGGAATTGTTCTCTGTATTCTATTCTGCCCCACAGTTATTCTCCTAAAATTTCCTTTAATATCTTAATAATGTACATATAAACAATTATGGTTAAATAATAAAGAACAAAAAATTCAGGAAGTCAGAATATAGTAAACAATGTAAAATTGGCTTAACCCTCATACATGTCTAACTTCTCAACACAGTCATGACAATAAAATAATTCCACTGATTGTCAGAGAAACTGACCACCAAGAGTCTGTTTCCAAAAAAAAAAAATCCTACAGATTTGATAGCATGGCTAAATAAAAACTCAAAGAGAAGACTGCCACCTACTGAAATGCTATTATCATTCTAGCAAAATTATTTTTTTGGTAGAAACAAAGCTTATTCATACCAGTTTGAACTATGGATTAAAAGCATAATGTAATTTTAAGATTAACTTAGTTACCATATATATAAAACTGAAATCCATAAAGCTGACCAATATTAATGAAAAGACATGCCATATAAGAAGAAAACCCAACAGAAATACTGTGATCATTAGGCTGAAACTTTTCCATATGCCTGGCTGATTCATGATTAATGCAGGGCACATTTCAAAAGTATAAACCATGTTTCCATGATCCAAAAATAAAAGAATGCATAAAACACCCAAACTATCCTACTCTCAAATTTCCTAATATCATTAAAATAAATTATGCATGTTTATTTTGCAAGATAAATACTGGTGACAATCATGTTGGGATTTTCAAATTTTGTGTAAAATTCAGTTATTCAAACCACTTATTCTTCATATTGATAGCCTCCATATAAAATTAATTGAAAAGCTAAGTATTTGAATGAGAATTATACAGCAGAAAAGTTTGTTAAAAATTTATTTCCATCTTGTAATGTTAGAATATCAGAGTTAAACTAAAATTAGTTTAACTGAAGTGCATTAATAATAAACTTACCAAGCACAAGAAATATCCACCAAAGCCAATACTGTCCATTGAAATATCCAGTAAAATAATCAGAAAACTAGAGAGTGAACATAAATATATTAGTCATATTTGCATACTTGAATTACAAAATTGTAGATTACACTCAAATTCAGAATAATTTACCTGAAATAATTTACCTTAAAAACAGAAAGAAAAATAATGAAAAAACACTTATTGATAATTACATGAAAAAAATCTCTTATGCAAAAACAAACTGACTTCTGTTACTAACTTTATTAACAAAAAACAGTTGAACTACTTACAAAAAAAGAAAAGTAAATGCTATATATCTGACTCAAGAATTTTCTCATTAAAGCATTTACATGTCAGTCCTTTTTTTTACAATCTCTCAAAGCCACAACTACCATCCCAAACACACTACAGCAACCCACTGCTTTAGATATTAACACCAAAAGCTACATTATCAGATGGGGATGTTCTGGTGGCCTCTAAAAACAAGAGCTTTTGACCTTCTGTATGCCCCCTACTGTTAATCACTGCCCAAAATACTAAGCACATAAAGACCCCCAACTCATTGGAGTCTTTTTATTTTCAAACTAAATAGGGTAGCGTTCAGTTCTCATCAGTGAGCTGAAAACAGCTAAATGAACCTTGAAGGGGCATTTCAACAGTTCCTATTGGTGGCCATGGCAGATAGTTTTATATGTGGGAATATGAACAGGCAGATGGAAGGTAGGTTTGATGGTACAGAACACAGGTATCTTTTCCTTGATTAGACTCTAGCCACCATATTTCAATACTTTTAAAAGGTTTAAAAATATAGATCTAATTTTCTTCAGAGTTACTTCTGATAATTCTTCCTTATTCCTTCCCTATCATTTTAGCATCAACAATGCCCTGAATAATTGTATTTTAAATGTTTCATATAACCTACCTTAAAACTATTAAAAATTAACTTGTTTTATTACATTATTTCTACAGGTTATTATTATTATTGAATTAAATGCACATTTGTGCTCAAATATTTTCTAGAGATTTGCATGAAATCTTAAAAATCCAATAGTTTTGGTAATAACCAAAATACGAATTATAAATAATGTCATGGGCTGAGATGGTAGCTCAGTAGCAGAGTGTTTGCGTAGCACGTGTGAAGTCCTGGGTTCAATCTTCAGCACCATACGTAAATAAAATAAAGGTCTAATAAATAAATAAATAAATAAATAAATAAATAAAATCGCTATTTGGGAAGCAGATCAACTAAAGGTTATCTCTTTTTAAAAGTTTTCTAAGTATTTTCTCTGGAATCATTTTCAACTAATAAATAAACTATACACTAATTCTTAGAGTCAGAAATTCCAAAGAGTAAAAATTTCAAGTACTATTAAAAATGCAAATCCCACATACTCCCAAACATTTTAAAAATATATAATAAAGAACTTGAAAACTGGAAGATTGCAGCTTATAAAATAGAACTGCAGAATGCTTTTTAATTAAGTGTTAATGATTAGAAATAAAAGGTTCTCATAGAGACTTTAAGAGGTCATAAAAAAAAAATAAGGAACCAAAACAATACATTTTTAACTTTTTGTACATGGTACCCAAACAAGATGCAACCAGGAAATCAAGAAAAGAGTCATTCCTATCCAAAAATATCTAGCATAGAGTTATTTACCCCAAAATTAAGAATATAATTACCTTCACCTTGAAGTCAAGAGGAAGACTCATTATGTAAAAAGGATAAAGAAGCTTTAGACTCATTACTGAATTTAAAAATAAAATGTTTTAGAATACTGAGATGGTATCATAGAGTTGAGCCAAGTTGGGTTTGTTTTTTGTTTTTTTTTTTTTTTCTGTTTAGTTAATAAATCAATCATGTTGACTGGCCAACCACAGGCTACAGAAATCAAATTTTAAAAACCAACTTATCAACATTAAGAATTTGTCTGATGCTATTATACTAAAACACCAGTATTTTGTTATGTCCCACTTTCAAAAAGAACTTATTTTTAATAGAACCCATGCATGGTTAAATAAACAAAAAAAAAATCAAAAGCCTTAGGCAGAAGTAATAAAATTCTGGGCTAAATATATTTATACAAAATCTGAGATTCATGGCAGATCAGAAATGAAAAAGAAGGCAACAATATGATTTATCAAATACTTATCATCTAATAAAGGGACATACCAAACTTTTTGGAGAAAACCTCTCTACACTAAACTCCAAAAGGAATTTATTGCTTGACGCATTTCAATAAGTACAGTGTAACAAAGGCAGCACAGAATTAGGAAGACAGGCATTGAATTGAGAACAAAGTAAATTCTAATCCATGTATAAACTGTGTGACCTTGAGCAAATTATCACTCTTTTGCATTTAGTTTCATCGTCAACAAAATTGCTGGATCATCACCAGCATTAGTGATATAGATGGGGTTCAAGAATTTGGTGTTATCAAATTATACCTGGAACATGGTCAATGAATGGTAGCTATTATTATTTTATACAAAGGATTGTTTAAAATTCTTCTATCAGTTCTCAACACTAACAGCTTAATATTAGCCTTAACTCAAGCAAACATATTTTAAAGGGAAACTAAAGAGTCCTGGTAGTTAAACTTGATTTGGTAGACATCTTATGAATTAAGATATATAACTGGCATTATACTCACAAAACTGTGAGAAACTCCAGGCTTCGGTTTTAGGTTCCCCATCTTATCACATTAACCAGCTTTGACTACTGGCTAACCCTTTTCTTAACATCCAACCCTTCTTCAACTCTCATTCTAGGAGAGAATTAGGCTGTAATATGCTAAAGGAATAGGTTATAAATAATGGGTAACTTCTTCCTTATGCACATAAATGATACTAGCAATTAATCAACTTGAGGCAAGTTGAGAAAAGGATAAGGCCTAGGAGAATGATCAAAGTGGCTTTATTTATTCATCATTTTAATCTTCTGAAAAGCTACCCATATACTTTTAAGTTCTGTTATACAATTAGTAAATTAAAATATATAAATTATATAAGTCACATTTACTTCAATATCGGTTTCTAATCAAATAAGTTAAATTCTTCTAATGTTTTCAGAAGAATCATAGGTTTTAAATGTCAGCATCTCTTAAATACTTAAAGCACTTTGATCATTCTCCTAGGCCTTATCCTTTAAAATCTAGGAAAAAAAACATTTGTAAAAAGAAGCCCAAAAGGAAACTTCAAGAGGCAAAGGTAAAGAGCCAAGGGATGATTGTGTTAATGGTACTAATGCCTATTTAATTTTTACAGGGACTAGGAAAGTTGTTGTGATGGAGAAAAAAAAAAAAGGATGTTTCACTCTCTCTCTGAAAACCATCTTATAAAGGATGAGAAGCAGGCAGATGGTGATTTCAAGAAACAGCAGAAAAATAAGAGACTTAGAATGAATATAAGGAAAAAAGATGAGTTCCTATAGCCATTTATTTCATAGGCCTTTACTTCTGAGCTCTGAATGTTACAAAAAAAAAAAAAAGATATTTCAGTTTATTGTAATTTGCTAAACAACACAAATTCTTATTTTCATCTGATCATAGGCATGCTTGCACTGGACCACAGTAGTAGTAGCCACCTCTTACTAAGCACACACATTTGTGCAGTAAATGAACAACCTACTCTATTTACCATACTTTATAAAAATTCTGTGAAGCAGATATTATTGACCTATTTCAAAGAAACTAATACTCAGAAGAACAATTAATTAACTTAATGTGAGAATACACGAGATGTGAGCTTAAATTTTTCTGATTTCAAAGTTCTCCTATACTAACAATTAGCAGCCTCTCATATAAACTTATAAAATGTTCACACTAAAGAGATCACTATAATAATTATATATAAAAGTAGAAACCTTTAATTTATTGAATTCATGTGCAAAAAGTGAGCACTTACGAACTATACAGAAAATTTCATATCTTTTTATTTTAGAAATAGTAAAGGTTTAGGCTATCAAGACACTCACCCTGACAATAAGGATCCACTTGATCAATGAAAGTCCAAATCCACAGATAGCACCATACCTTCCAGCTATGGTGTTGGTGATACAGAAGGATAAGCAAAATCCAAGCCAGTTGAAAATAAATGCCACTAAAAGCAACAGAAACAGTTTTTTAAAGATTATAATTTAAAAACAAATTAACATATATATAATACTAACAATATGACACTGCTCAAAGGTAACAAGAGTTTTCATTTCTCTACCAACTGAACCATCTTTGTAGACTGTAATTTACCTTTTGCAAATGTATACATGAACAAATGGGTAAATTTGGTTTCCTGGTCAATAAGAATCAGGTCAACAAGAATCAATTCCTTAAAGCTTATTATCAGTGGGTAAAACTACATTTTTAACCAACCAAAAAACAGACCACAATGTAGTACTCATGTAGTTCCAACCCAAAAAACTGAGTATAAGCAATCAACCAACAAAACTGGCCTTTTTTCAAAGGTAAAACAATAAAACTTAGTACTTCACAAATATTTTATGGGCTTCTTAAAGTATAGTTATAATTCTTAGGTGTTCCTTTTCTGGATTCATTTACAATATATAACCTCATCTAAAAGCTAAATTAAACTATAGCATTACATTGACAGAGCAAGTCACCAAAGTACTGTTTTTCCAATGTGTGTGGTGTCCATGTAACCCCTTTGAGAACTGTAACTTTTCACTTCTAAGTGTTATGTCCATCCTCAAAAGAGTTTACAGAATAAAGATACTCAACATCATAATCATTAGAAAAATGCAAATTAAAACCATAATTAGATAATATTACATACGTATTAGAGTGTCAAAAGTTAAAAATAAAAAATAATAGTCTATCAATTGCTGGTGAAGATATAAAGCAACAGGAACTCTCTTTTACTGCCTAGTTAGAATATAAAATGATATCGCTACTTTGGAAGACAATTTCATTTAAGTCAGAATTAACACTTCAAAACACTCTTGGTTCTTTTTAAAGTTACAAATAACTTAATTTTTCTTTAGTTATGTTTCCCTCAAATCTAAAACTGGAATGACTCAGGTGATTAATTACAGCACATCATGTTAATACTCACATACATGGTACAAACAGCTGAACCCTGCAAGAAAAATTATCTAAATACAGCCAAAGAGAATCTATTATATGTTAAAGTACAGAGTTCAAGGTCATTTCCACTGACCTGTCAATTATAATTTCTTGAGTTTAACTGACAATCAGTTGGATTTTATTTCATTCTTTAAAAATTTTTATTAAAAATAAGACCAGAGTGGGTAGGGATGTGGGTCAAACGGTAGCGCGCTGGTCTGGCATGCGCAGGGCGCTGGGTTCAATCCTCAGCACCACATAAAAGTAAAATAAAGATGTGGTGTCCACCGAAAACTAAAAAATAAATACTAAAAAATTCTCTCTCTCTCTCTCTCTCTCTCTCTCTCTCTCTCTAAATTAAAAAAAAAAATAAGACCAGAGATATTCAGTTTAGACATGTATATGAAGCACTTGTGGTAATACTTAAAAGGATGAAGAAGCAAAAACATTATCATGGAATATATGTATTTTTCCTTTACATTTTCTGAACAAGAACATGTAATTACATTGCCAAGTTTAAGTGTAAAGTTTACTTTTAAAAATTTATTTTTATATACATATATATTTATATTTAGTTGTCAACAGACCTTTATTTATATTTATTTGTATGTAGTACTGAGAATCAAACCCAGTTCCTCACACATGCTGATAAGCAAACGTTCTACTTCTGAGCCACAACCCCAGCCCTTAAGTGTAAACCTTCTTTAGTTATATGAGATAAGAGACTGAAACACAGATGTCAAAAATAAATAAGGCAAGAATGTACCCTACAAAAGGTTTAACTAAAATATTCTTACTGATTTTTCACTTATTTTATTTGTACAAATACAATCTGAAATGCTCAAATTACAAACCCATTAAAGAAAAACCTACTTCTAGATCTTTTTACCAACAGTAGCTATTAGTTTAAGCATGGAAAATACAACAAGTTGCAATTTGAAGAATAACCACTAGATGGTAGTAATTACAAATAAATCCATGCTTTTATCAATGCAAGCTCTAGGCCTAGTCTACCAGGAAAAAATTTTATCAGGAAATGAAGATTAAAAAAAAAAAAAATCATTCTTATAACATTTGTGAAATATTTACAGAATAAGAAGTATAAAAAATGTAAGCTGTAGGAAGGCTGAGGCAGAAGAATTACAAACTCAAATAGAGTCTTGGCAACTCATGTCTCAAAACTAAAAAAGGGCTGAGGTTGGGGGCTGGGGTTGTGGCTCAGTGGTAGAGCAGTTGACTAGCATGTGTGAAGCACTGGGTTCAATTCTTGGAACCATATATAATGAATAAAATAAAGGTCCATCAACAATTAAAAAATACATATTTAAAAAGGGGGGGGGGGGGGCTGAGGTTGTAACTCTGTGGTAAAGTACTTGCCTACCAGGGCAGGGATTAAACCAGGCCCCAGGTTTAATCCAAAATATCACAAAAAAAATAAAACAAGCCATAGAAAAATGATTTAGTAAAAATTTAGTAAAAGTCAGATTATTTATATTAAATCTATATATGTGTATTTATATTAATTACTCTTGCTGAACAAAAATAAAGTCACCCAACGTATTTGTTACCATATATTTACAGTATTTATATCAGTGAAATATTTTTAAATTTAAAAAAATAAAAAGAAGATGATATAGAGTTAAGAGAAATGCAGAAATAGATAAATAAGAACCAAGCTCTGATTCAAAATAGATAGTTAAATAATAATATTTTTATTCCTGAGAAACAAGTATTCATATCACAAATAGTATAATAAACTTAATGATTTAATAAGATTTCGAATTAATGTTTAAACTACTATTTTGTAAACAAAATATACACAAAGTTTGTTATTAATATGAAAGAGTATGGGTGAATTAAAAGTCCAAAACTAAAGTTAAGTTAAAAACTAAAGTTCAGGGCTGGGGATATAGCTCAGTTGGTAGAGTGCTTATCTTGAATGTACAAAGCCCTGATTCAATCCCCAACACCACAAAAAATAGAAAAATTTAAATAAATAAATAACCTAAAGTTCACCAGATCAATAGTACAAAACATCAGATATTTGTAACTAAAGTTCATATTCTTTCTATTGTATCTAAGAATTGCAACTAGAATCAATTTGTGATTTAAATTTCACATATATATTAGCCAGTAAACTAAATATAATTTAGAAAATTTGAAGAAAAAGTTATAGCTGCCTGCCCTTCTCCCACCACCAATGTCTCTTCTTAGCAGATGAAATAAAGAAAGGGAAGCAAGAAACCATTTCAAAATGGAAAAGGTTAAAGTGAATTTCTAGACTCAAAAGTAACTGAACACATGAAGATTTTTTTTTTTTTTTAAGTTGAACATGGCTCTTTAAATAAGTAAACTATTTCTTGGTTTTACCACCAAATAAACCTTAGAGCTAAAATGAATTTAATCAGCATTCTCTCTAAGAAGGTATGAAAACCTGATCATTTAAATAGGTAGTTAAATTAACCCTATCATTGTCTAACAAATTTGCTTAAATAAATATTGGGTTTCTACTATTCGTTTTAACTATTAAAGCAGTTTATTGAAGGTATTAAAATTAGTCAATGATTTTACCACATGCTATTCTCAGGAACTGAAATAACAAACATCCCTCATGGAGTTTAAATCTATAAGTCAAACATTAATTTAAGAATTTTGTAAGATGTTAAAAAAAATACACTATTCTTCTAATCTTCTAATTATGCATCATTACCCCCAAAGAAAACTTAAACTTAATTTCATACCTTTGTGCCTCCAGTGATATTGTTCTGGCTGCCCAGAATATCCCCCTTTCCAACCCTTATTTTGGCTTTAGACCACTCAAATGAAGTCTTCTTCCCCAAAATATATTTTACAGTTTCATTCTATACATTCCTACAGCACTGAATGAACATTTAAATGCATTTCTCTTATAAAATCTTCTTTAGTTTAAATTAGCTTATATATCTTTATGCAGTCAACATCTAGCATCATGAATGCAATGCGTAATTATCCAATAAATGTTTAATAAATTCTAGGACTTATATTCACTCTAGTCCTCTCTAGAACAATTTGTATTTCAAATGAGGTAAATACATGCTAATAATAATTTATTTTCTTCACTGTTATACATACATACAGCTAACAAATATTTTTATTAAAAAAAAAAGTCTGGAAAGGTCACTTACTGAAAAATGCCAGCATGAAAATGCCATCATTACCCACTCTAAGTTGGTCTGCATCACTGAAGTCATCTCTTGGTGGACACTCTTCCTCTGGATTCTGTGAAACACATAATATCAGAATAGCTCTAAAAAAAAATTTTATATTCTTAATGTAAAAATAAACAATAAAAATTTCAATAGAATCTAAGGTTCTCAATCTGTTAACAAAGACAAAACGAGATAATGAGTACACTGAGTTAGACTCAAAAAACATTAGCAAGTATAATTTTTTCAGGGGCATTCAAAAAAAGAGTGATTTTCAGATAAACACAAAAGAGATTAAGTTGAATAATATCAATTCATGAAAATGGTATCACGAAGATAGATGTTACCCTGTTGTATTAGTGTCAAATGAGAAAACAGGCACTTTCAAATCAGTAGTGGAATTCAGTAAGTACAATTCCAATGGCTGGCAATTAGGCAATCTTTGTCAAAATTAAAGTATATACCTCTGGATCCAGCAATTCTAGTTTTTGAAATATATTGTACAAATACATATACACACACAATCCCACTTGTAAGAAATGAAATATAAAGATAGTTCTTTGCAACAATGTTAATAAGAGTAAAAGATCAGACACAATTTAAATGCCCATCAATAGTGAACTGTGGTCTGTAATTCCAGTAGCTCGGGAGGCTGAGACAGGAGAATGGTAAGTTTAAAGCCAGCCTCAGCAACTTAGCTAGGCACTAAGCAACTCAGTGAGATCCTGCCTCTAAATAAATACAAAAAAGGGCTGGAGATGTGACTCAGTGTTTTGAGTGCTCCTGAATTCAATCCCCAATACCAGGAAAAAAAAAAAAAAAAGTCAACTGTGTCAGGAGATAATGCTCCATAGGTCTCTCATGTTTCTGCACATCTTCCAGGTAGAAATACTGGTTGCCTTTTTCTGGATGTTTATATAGTGAAGAGCTTTGGAAAAGAGAATGCTTCCCTTCATAGCAAACATATGGACATTCTTATCAACTGTTAGTAAAGATGAGATCCTTAAACTCAGGGTTCCTTCTCCTATTAATACACTCCACCACATTAAGTTGGGAAGTAGTCCTCCTTGTACTGTCCTGTGAGAACCAGGGCTCATGGAAGTGACAGAAATAAATACTAATACTCTGTACTGCTATTACTGTGAATAATAAAGTCCTAAGCAGTCCTATGTCTTCTACCTGCTTCCAGGATACCGACAGACCAATCAGATTGCTTGCAAGTTGGGTAAAAACTCAACACTCGATAGATTGAGGAAATAAATTATTTTATATCTATCCAATGAAACAAAAAAATGTGAAAATTTTAAAGCAATAAATAAATAAAAAAGAACAAAAAATGTCTTCAAGTCTTATATTCTAATGCAATCTCCAAAACATATTATATGAAGATAATTTGTATAATACCATTTGTATACAAAACTAATATACTAAGGTATGAATATATTTTCTTATAAATGCAAAGAACTTCTCTGAAAGCACTGATTGCTTCCAATATACAACAAATATTACTGGAAGACCCAGCAATTACTATATAAGACTTTGCTTCCTGGTCCTTGTGATATATCAATATATACAAAACAAATATGTATGACCTGGAGTCTATATTGCAGACAAGGGAGTCAGACAATAAACAAAACATAGTAGTAAGTTATGTATATAATTATTTAAAAACGCAAATGCTATGTCAGAAGAGAAGAAAAATGAAAGGGGAAAGAGCGAGGGGTCTAAGGAAATTTGGGGATGTTATGGAGTTAAAAGTCTATAATTTTAAATATGGTGGTCAGGTAGGCCTCACTGAAGTAAGACTTAAGAAAAAACTTAAAGGGGTGGTAAGAGGGTAAACTATGCAGGTACCTCATAGAAAGAGTTCTAGGCAGAATAATAAGCCAGAACTAAGGTCCTAAAATAAAATCACACATGACACGTTAGAATAAAAGCAGAGAGTTTTCCATGGCTGGACTAGAGTAAACACAAGAGAAAATAGGAAGAAAACATGTCAAAAAGGTACAGAAAGTCCACTGAAGGATCTTGGATATTACTGAGGAAGAAGTCTTACTCAATTTTGATCAAATGAATGTTACGTGATTTAAATATGTAATATCTCAGGCTATTTATATACAATCTGAGTTCAGTACTAACTTTTCAGGTTCAGTCAGAGAAGGTAGTGCCCTGCCTAAGAGCCTATAATTAGAAACGTCAAGGTAGAACTTGAATCCAGGCTACTGATGTTCTTTCCACCCAGTCTTGGTAGTTTTATGTATATACTTCTTAAAAAAAAAAAAAAAAAACAACTTTCGAAGCCATGTTATATTGTTTATTATTTGAACCCAAAGATTCCTTAAAATCTGTGATGATATATCCTGGCAAACTTTATATGGTAAATTTAAAGACTGGCAATGATTAAATGCATATTAAAATTTTGTAACTTTCAAATTAATTCAAAAAATAACATGAAAATACAATATGAACCCCCCCAAAAGAAAAAAACACACTATCAATGATGACAAAAATGTTTGATATTATTTTAAAACATTAATCCAGAAACTTATCAAAGGATGTCATTTTTAAAAAGATAGAAGGCATACAAAGATATCTTTTATAATATTGACATTGGTGGAGGGAACCCACACACAAACATATAAAAAGGATATAATTGTTCACTGGAGAAAAATGGGCACTAAATGGGCACTAATTACACTACTATATTGACTCCATGGGACATTCAACCATTAAATAACAGGAAAATATTTACAAACATTTCTAAAACAGAAAGGACAGCATTTGTGAAATAATTTCAGCTACATTAAAATTTATTAATACAACAGACACTAGTATGGCAATATGTAAATCAATGGATGTGTAACTGATGTGATTCTGCAATCTGTATACGGGGTAAAAATGGGAGTTCATAACCCACTTGAATCAAAGTGTGAAATATGATATATCAAGAACTATGTAATGTTTTGAACAACCAACAATAAAAATTTAAAAAAATAAAAATAAATAAAATAAAAGAGAAAATGCTTTGTAAATTAAAAAATAAATAAATAAATAAATAAATCCAAAAATTTGTAAAAGACACGAAAATATTTTTAAAATAAGACCTGTAACAGAATGGTTATGGCATTTTTATCTTCCTAATTTCCTACAGTGGCTAATACAAAGAAGGCATTCATAAACTTAACCAATTATATTTTATTAAACACCGAATATATGCTACTAACAAATTAGGTACTAGGAATATGATATATATAATTCTACCTGTCCTGGAGTTGCTCACAATTTATCAAGTGCTAGCTAGTTCTTACATTAAAAGGTAAACTAATGAAACCATTTCAAATAAGTTACCAAAAAAAAAAAAAAAGATGTTAACCACTATAAGGTTTTAGATGAGCCTACCTGATGAACAAGCCCTATTACAAAAGGTTTATAAAATGATTTGAAATTCAATTACTTTCCTCAGAAATATTAAAAATGAGTAGAACTGACATAAACCCATTTAATCAGTATATAATATGCATGCAGCTACATACATCAGAAATAGAAAAGAGTAGGGGGAAAAAATTTAAAAAGCAGAAAACAAAGATTATGTTACAAAGTCTCTTGACTATCTACCTATATAGTCCCAATGAGAGTTAATTTAAGAAATAAATTCAGAGCTCATCCTCTGAGACTCATTTACAACTAAATGTGCTCAAATGCTAATGAGACCAGGTTTGTTTTATAATTTAAAAAAAAATAAGAAAAAATTACATCTACATAATATTTAAACATATATATATATATATATATTTATGCAATTTATGTTTTGAGATGTGAATCCATTGTGGAATGGCTAAATTGAGCTAACTGACATGCTTTTCCTTGTATATCATTTTTGGTGGTGAAAACACAAGATCTACATTCTTGAGTGATTTTAAGGTATGGACATTTTAAAATTTGTGTGTGGAGATACATATAAACAATCATACATTCAAACTCTGCCAAAAGTGGGTGCTGGAGCACTGGATTAGGACGCCCTGATATTTAAGAGATATTTTATGAGGAATCCAAGTTAATGTCTTTTGTACAACCATACTTTGCTTTCTGTGGAATTCTCTATAAGACCCATAGGCTAATGTAGCAATTGCATCAGAAGAAAGTAAAAACAGAACTTTTCTTTGTGGACATGTTCCAATTCAGGTTGGGAATCACAGTTTCTTTCTAAAACAAGGCACTTGAAATGATGACAGAATGGAATAGTAACACTTCAGAGTTTTCTCTCCAAAGGGGGTAAAATCACCTTTATGCTTTTCTCAAAGTCCAAATAATGCTTCCTACTTTAAAAGCAGGAAGTTAGGGTAGTAAAGTATCCAATGCCCATAATACAATTTAAGGATCTTTGGCTCTGCTAATAACTAAGGCAACATCTCCTAAAATACAGTTTAATTTACTCTGAGAGTCATTCATGAGCACTTATAAACTTCCATGTTCTAAGCAAGCTAGAGTTCACTTTGACAGAAACTCCCTACTTTATAGATCCCTTCCTTCTCTATAATTCTCCCTCAAAATATTAAAAATCCTTCTTGACAGGGTCATCAGTCAATAAGGTGTATTTATGCTACTGTCTTAAGGGACTTAACTTTCCTCTCTGAGAGAGGTAAGTTATAAAAAATTAATTAGGGGTTTATTATCTTTACCTAACTTCGTAACTGTTAGCTATATGACATTTATGTGTGATAGAAGATGGGAGTGGAGGCAGGGATGGGAAGAGCTATTGTTGATGGAAAAAGCTCATCCTGGAAAGATGCTCATCTATCAAACCATCTAACTGCTGGGCTCTGGCCTCAAGTACAGGAAAGGCTTCTTTCTGTCTTGACTCCTCACCTAATTGTACCTTTCCTGGATGAGGTTTTGTTTTGTTTTGTTTTTGTCATTTTCCTGAACAAAATGGGATGAATCTAAGAATCTGAAATGACACTTCCAAAGCAAGAAAAAAAGGCAAAAAAAAAAAAAAAAAAAAAAGCCCTGCTTGCAGCAAACACTAAAATATAAATAATTTCCACCTTTTACCTGACTGGTTGAATAGCATACATGCATCTCATTGTCGTTCCATTAGTGAGACAGCTACTTCTTTTACCAGAACAAATAACATGTATCTTACTGACACCATTACTAAGGCATATACGAAGGAAAAAAGGAAGAGGAATCTTTCACCATCACTCCAAAATTCTAGAATATGTTAAAAGGAAAAATAAAATTTAGCTGAAAAGAAAAGTATTTAAAGGCCTTATCTCTCTCTATGCTATTATATAGCCTATCTTGAGTTCTTTCATGAAGTCATTAGCCTAGCTATGCTAGGATGAATCGTGACTAAAGTGACAGAATATGGAATCTAAACTTATGTAAGGAGAAAAATAAGTACATAGACAATGAAGAGGTCAGTAAACTTGAGGTCTAGGTGAAAGAGAAGAACTGTTAGGATGGTGGTACACAGAGCAAGTGAGTTAAAAGGGTGAAAAGTTAGCTCCTGAGATGCCTAAAACCAAAATTTTATGAAGTGATAAATGTATTGGTAAAGACATGTTCTAAAATGACCACAAGCTGAGGAGGCAGGGGAATATCAACAGAAATGAGGTCAAGAAATAGAGAAGGTGAATTTAACTTGGAAAATGTCAATTTCACCATAAATGATGCAAATAAGTAGTAGTAGGGAAAATACAGGAAATGACACACTGTCTTAAGGAACTACTGATATTATTAAATGCATATAAAATAAATTAACAAAAATATTATCAAAAGAAATGATAAATTTTCTTACTCTTTGAGATGTTTCTGCCGCTGCAGCTGCCATTGCAGCAGCTTTAGCCTTCTCAGCCTCATCATATGTGGGCAGTGAGGTAGCAACACTGTAGGGTGGTGGCACAGGATAAAACTCACTGTAAACTTCCACATCTGAAGAAAAAGAATTTAAAAAGAAAAATCATTAACAAACTATTTAATATAATCGTATAGCCATGACCACAATAACTTACAAAAGGACACGAGAGACTGCTACTGTAGTTCCACATATAGCACATCAACAACTATTATAATCATATCTTATTTTAGTCATTTATTATAAAGAGAAAGAACTGATAAATATAATCTAAAGGTTGTTACATTAATAAAGCCCCTTAAGAATGAGATTTTGAAAAGGAGTTTCAGACAAGGAAGGTTAAGACTCAGAATATATGACATCCTCTATGTGCTTATTGGTATGCACAAAGAAATTACTTGCTCATTATCTTACAGCCAAAAAAGTTTTTATAAATCAGAAATAATAAAATAACAAACGTTTACATAATACTAAGTATTTCATAACCACTTCTAAATACATTAATCTTAGCTACCCTGAGATTCAGAAAAACTTAAGTGACTTATGTAGTACTAAACACCCAGTAAATGGGAGAACCCAGGGAGTTCCTGACTTCAAATACTTTGCTCTCATAACATATAAGGAGTAAATTTTTTACATATGTTTATTTCAGCAACCACCCGAATCTCTTCAGCAAACAATATTTCTCTTTGCTAAAAGATTGATGAAATCTTGCTCTTTTTCACTCTTATCCATTTTTCTACCCATTTTTACCATATTCACCTGTTCTTTAGATTTTTTTTTATTAAGTATTTCTCCCTCCCCAATATTTAAGCTGTTTTGGAAATGAGCTCCAGAAACAGATATACATATATGTCATATATATGCATACATAATAGTATACATATTGGGGTGTGGATGTGGGTGTGTGTGTATATATATATATATATATATGGAGAGAGACAGAGAAAGAGTGTATATATATATATATATATATATATATATATATATAGAGAGAGAGAGAGAGAGAGAGAGAGAGAGAGAGAGAGTGTGTGTGTGTGTGTGTGTATAGTGTGTGTATGTGTGTGTGACGGGGGGGTAGGGTATGTGTATGTATGTAGCAAGTACAGACTACTTATTTTAAAAATAAAACTGCTGGATGTGGTGGCACATGACTCTAATCCCAGGGACTTGGAAGGCTGAGGCAGGAAGATTGATTACAAGTTTGAGGCTACTCTGGGCAATTAAGTCCCAAAATTAAAAAATAAAAATAAAAAGAGCTAGAGATGTAGCTCAATGGTAAAGAGCCCTTGGGTTCACTCCCTAATACTAAAATGAAATGAAACTAAATAGAATAGAATAGAATAGGATAGAATAGAATAAAAATAAAATTGCATCACTTATTTCTAATGTAAGTAGGATAAGTCAAATTATACAAGTCAGTGAACTCTATGAGACTTATGGTAGAATCATTGATATGGGAAAAAAAGGTAGAGTTCATATTCCACGAAGTTTGACAACCGTTTTATGATTTCCTCAATTATAACTACACTATTTCTATATTTTCTACATGAGTTTAGAATGTTCTCTATCAGACTTCCTTCCATTTACAACATGAAAACAAAATTTTAGTTAGCAATACTTTTCCTCTTAGATTTTCATGTCTATAGGTTTTAAAACAATGCTTAATGCTATCAATAAGAGCTAAGAATCTAGAGTTGATTAATTTTTAATCTACCAACAGAAAGTGCTAACAGCAGTATAATACTCAATGTTATCCACCAGAAGACACAAGAGGCATAAATTCTTAGAAAATACTAGTCATCATAATGTAAAAACACCATATACAATCAAGTAAACAGATTTCTTTCAGTGCTAAGACTTAACTGAAGCAAATCTAAGTGAAAACAATAGTTATGAATTTTAACACAATAATTATTAAAGCTATAAATTTTAAAAACTAGAACAATGACATATTATTCAAGATGATACAGTCTTTTATATCAAGAAGTATGTAAATTTTTGAAATTCTTTAACACTCAAGATAGAAAAACTCAAAACTACTCTTAAGATTTCATCTCACCCCAGTCAGAATGACAGTTATCAAGAATACAAGCAATAATAAGTATTGGAGAGAATGTGGGGAAAAAGGTACGCTCATACATTGCTAATGGGACTGCAAATTGGTGGCCCACTTTGGAAACCAGTGTGGAGATTCCTCAGAAAACTTGGAATGAAACCACCATTTGAACAGCTAACCCACTCCCAATCTATACCCAAAGAACTTAAAATCAGCATACAATATTGACATAGCCACACCAATGTTTATAGCAGCACATTCACAATAGCTAAACTGTGAAACCAACCTAGAAGCCCATTAACAGATGAATGGATAAAGAAACTATGTTATATACACACAATAGAATATTACTCAGCATTAAAAGAGAATATAATTATGGCATTTGCAGGTAAATGGATGGAGTTGGAGAATATCATGCTAATCGAAAGCCAATCCCAAAAAACTAAAGGCCAAATGTTTTCTCTTGATTAGTGGATGCTTATCTATGGAGGGGGGGATGGGAAGAACTGAGGAACTTGGATTGGGCAAAGGAGAAGGTGGGGAGAGGTTATGGAGGTAGGAAAGATGGTGGGATGAGATTGACATAGTTACCCAAGGTACATGTGAGACTTGACAAATGGTGCAGAGAACTGAAATGTTGCACTCTATTTGTGTATGATAAATTGAAATGCATTCTGCCGACATGTACAACATGACAAGTAAAACAAATAAAAATAATAATTTTTTAAAAAGATAGAAAAAAATCCCCACAACTAATAGATGGAAATTGAGGAGCACTAAATTACTATAGCATTAATGTTCACTTTTTAATTTTAATCATTTTTCTTCTACCCTGAAAGGCAGTGGTTCTCAGAGAATTAAAATCAAGAGAGCACCAGCTCTAAGTTCTCTCCTTAGAAGGTGAGTCATCTCAAGCAAATCATTTAAGCACTCTGAAGCTCTGCTTTCTCACCCATAAAACTAACCCAGGAAGACTATTACTACTATTATGGGGGAAACAGAAGAGTATTCAAGAGGAATATATTATGAAACATTATAAAAATGTCACATATTATTAGTGATGTCAGATCTATAAAAAATAAGTCATAAAACAACCTCAATCTCCAAAGAAAACTAGCACACCCTAGGCTTAACATATAATAATTATAAGAAGTTGAAGAAAAATAGCAACAGCTTTTACTGAAGAAACCCAAAATTCTAGATTTACTCATAGTTCTTATGCTGGATTAAAGTCATGAGTGACTTTTTAGTAAGAGTTGTAAAAAATGAAGAAGACCAGTCTCCACAAAGGACACTGTAAGAATAACTGAACAGGGGCTGGGGTTGTGGCTCAGCGGTAGAGTGTTCGCCTACCACATGTGAGGCCCTGGGTTTGATCCTCAGCACCACATATAAATAAATAAATAAATAAAGGGATTATGTCCAACTACAACTAAAAAATAAATATTTAAAAAAAAAGAATAACTGAACATCTAGACACCAGGCTCAACTGGTTTTTACAGTTGAAATGTAACCTTTAAAAGTGATATGCCGTATTATTAATACTACTCCAAGTCATAAAAAGATGGGAAGCTTCTCCATTCATTTTATGCTACTTAAAAATTACAAAGTTACAGATCCCACTAATAAAACTGTAAAAACTATAAGTGAAATACTAACAAATCTAAATCTAGAAGGGATCAGTTCATGACATGAAAGGTTATTCTAAGAACACAGGAATGAATTAGTTTTTTAAAAATCTACTAATAACATATTTCATTATAACCAAAATTAAAGAAGAAAAACCACATCATTTTATGATCAGATTTTTCAAAAATTGCTTTAAGGGGTATCTGGCCTACTGAAGCCATTTATTACAAGGGAAAAAGACTGCAAAAAGAAAAGGTTTGGTAAAAGAAGTAAGAGGAAGTGTGTAGCCATGCTAGTTTTAAATGGTTCTCATCAAGAAATAGAGACTAATTTCTCTACCTTGAAGAAAGACTAAACTCAAGGACTCACTTCTAACAAACCAAATATGGCAGAAGTGATACTAACATTTAAGACAATATCGTAACAGGAGACAGCGTTTCTACCTAGTTTTCTCTCAGAACACTTGTTCTTAGAATCCAGCCATTATTCAGTGAGAAAGTCTATGCAACAGGAGGCTAAATATGGATGTTCTGGCCAACAGCCTCAGCTGAGGTCTTAACTAAAGCCATCACACATGAAAAAGGAAGCTTTTGAGATGACTTCAATCCCTGTTACCATTAGATGAAAATCACATGAGCTCATGGGAAAGAATAACATAGTTGATCCCAGGACATCTCCAGAACCATGAAAATTAGTAATGAATGATTGGTATTTTATTCCATAAAGTTGGGTGTCATTTGTTACACAGCAGTGTAGTAATGATAGTCACAACAAAGGGCTCAAGATTTCGTTCTTAAAATTAGTATCTTCCATTATTCAGACATGGACATCATAAAGAAAACAACCAATTTTCTTTCTTCAAGATTATCATCAAAGTGATTTTTATTTTATTTTTGTGATGCTGGGAATCAAACCCAGGAATTCACAAGGTGCTATATATCCCTAGCCCCAAACTGAGTTTTCATTCTTGTCGATATTATTTTAATTTAATCAAGTACAGCAGATTTCTTTGAAAATATTAAAGAAAATTTAGCACATAAATTTTAATAAGTAACAAACCAGTTGCTAATTCCAAAGAAAAATAAAGTTGGTGGAAATCAATATGAAAACTATGCATAAGAAGCTGGTAGTACAGCTCAGTGGTAGAGTGCTTGCCTCACAAGCACAAGGCCCCAGCATCACCAAAAAAATAAATAAATAAAGGATATGAAATGGAAATACTGATCAAAACATTATATACAAATAAAAGGAATATGCATTTACTAATTTAATTAGTAAGAACACCTTCATGGACAAGATTATTTTCAGTAACCAAATAAAAAAAAAAGTAAATGAATTTGATGGAAGAAATACTGGGTCCTAAAAAAAGGGGAGAAAGTATTGGGTCTTTCTATACACTGCAAATGAAAAAATGGTACCCAGAGAAAGTTGGCATGACTTCAAGAAAAGTAAATGGCATTATGGAATAAGAAAGATGAAACGTTCCAGTGAAGGGTGTTATCTATAAAATATTTTCCAGTAACTGATTTTTAAAATACATGTTTCATAATGAATATATAAAGTATTAAGAGCAATAATTTAGATTTTATTTAGATATTATCAGACTATTTACAGAAGTTACAATAGTATACAAAAATCATACAATCATAAAATCAGTACACAAAATCATAATAGTATACAAATCATCATAATGATTAGTTTAACACTGCTGAAAATATGTAAATTATGGCCAGAGAATTAACTGATTTGTTCTCTAGAATGTCCTGAACAGAAAAGATAAACAGTAAGCAGGAATCACTGTCTTGTATTTAAGAATTATTACCGTACATATGGAATTAACACTATGTATACCTTTTACCTCTGATCAGATACACCACATTCCTACCCGCTTCTATCATCACTAAAACTTTTGTTTTATGATTATATATGCATGTACATACATGTGTCTATACATGTGCATATTTATATATGCATGTGTATATGACGTGTGTGTATACATGTGTGTTTACGTTTGTATATTCATATACACATGTGTATGTTTGAATATGTGCCTATTTAAAAGTCCACTTAATTACACAAAACCACACTAAAAAAAAGAACTATAATCCCAGCTACTCAGGTGGCTGAAACATGAGGACCACAAGTTCAATGCCTGCCTAAGCAACTTACTAAGACATTGTCTCAAAATTAAAAAGTAAACAGGCTAGAGATATAGCTCAGTGGTAAAGAGTCCCTAGGTTCAGTTCCTAGTATAAGGAGGTTAAAAAAAAAAAAATTAGTGAAAACATTACTAGCTGTTTCATACCTGAAGTTGTAGGTACTTCCACAGTTATACTACTATAAGGGGGAGGAGAAGAGTCAGTTTCAAGTGCTGGTGCTGGAGGAGCAGTCTGCACAGTCTGTGGTGTTGGGTTTGAAGTGGATGGCTGCTCTACAGCAGATGATTCTGAATTATCCTCTTCATTATGAAGCTAAAAGAACAAGAGAAAAGGGAAATCAAACCAAATTAATGATGTTTATTATTTTTCTTAAATTTAATTTTTAAAGATAATTTATGGCAAATGATCACCTTTTAGCATTTTAAAAGATGAAAAATTTAAAGATCTAATCAGTCACCTAATCACTCACTTCTTAAGAAATTCAGAATTTTCATAGTTTCTTTACAATAAAAATGAGACACAAAATTGTTATGAGTTCACAAAGAAAAGTTTTAGGATTCAAGATAAATTTAAATTCATGTAACCCTATAGTAGATATTGTCTTCCATGTATCAATCACAATATATGTATTGAAAAGGAAACAAAAAATCCTAGTAGTGTAGTCACAATACCATCTCTACTATACTTAATCTAGAATAACTGGAAATGGAAACTGAATTATAAAACAAATTAATGATGTATAAATATTCTAAAATGTGAAATATTAAAAACTGGTTTTCCTAAAAATAGAAAAAAATTACCATAAAGCAAAATGAGTCAGTGAGTACAGAATTCTAAAAACTGGTTTTCATCACAATTGAAAACTCTGTAAGAATAACATGTTTAATCATTTAACTCATTTACTCTTCACAACCAATCTAGAGATGTTTAATCATTTAACTCATTTACTCTTCACAACAAATCTATTATACACATGTGTATGTTTGAATACGTGCATGTTTAGATACTATTACTATTCCCAATTGAAACAAAAACCTGGAAGTACAGAAACTTAAAGTAACTTGCCAAACAACACACTGTCAGAAATCAAAACCAAGCATGTGGCTACAGACCTTTTATTTCATTTACATTACCTCTGAAAAGATCATTCTTTAGTAGTTAATAATACCTAATACAGGTAAACTAATACAATGTGAGCAAAGGCTTCAATACCATAAAAGGTAATTCATTAGGGAGGAACTATAATTGATCCTTAAATAAGTCTAGAAAAGAAGCCTTATTAAAATAGACTAAAGTACTTTTTTACATAATACCTTTATTTTGTTTATTTAGTTTTTATATGTGGTGCTAGGGATCGAACACAGTACCTCACGTGTGCTAAGGCAAGCAGTCTACCACTGAGCCACAACCCCAACCCAAGACTAAGATACTTTTAAACTAGAACCTCAGTTTGAAAATAAACCACAGGTCTTCATTATTATTTAATTTCCATATCTTAATTTGTTAAAACTTAAGAAATTTAATGTTAAAAACAATGCTCCAAAGAAATTTGACATAGAGCTAGTACACATAACAAATTTAAACGTTGTGATGTAGTAAAACATAGATTTGGGGTTTTAGATAGAACATCAAGCAAATTCTTGATCTACCTTTCAGTATCTTTGGTAAACTTGTCTTCTGTGTACCTCAACATTCAACTATAAATTCTGAATACAGCCAAATCCTCATAGGGATATAAAATAATATTTAGAAAGCATCTGGCATAATAAGGGAAGACATTAAATGTACTAGTCTCTTCCTTCTTCCCTTTTACTTAGTATACCTTAGTATACCACAAAACAGAAATTGTGAGGTGCTTCACTATCAGTCCAATAAGTAGTAACTAACTTGCCTAAAAAGTTACACACACACACACACACACACACACACACACACACACACGAAGGTCAATTTACTAAAATGCTTCTTTCATTTGTCTTAGTAAGGATCACACTAGAAAACCATTTTTACAAATTAATAAATACAACTTTCAATGGAACTATCATAAATACACCTAAAACTTCTTAAATTAACCAAGATAACTCTTCCACAAACAACATAGCACCAAGGTTTGGATAATAAATCAATTCTCTTAGTAGTAGAGCACTTGCCTAGCATGTGTGAGGCACTGGGTTCGATCCTCAACGCCACATAAAAATAAATAAAATAAAGGTGTTGTGTCCACCTATAACTAAAAAAAGATATTTAAAATTAATTAATTCTCAGAAACTGAATTATTGGTCCAAATAATCATAATGTGAATTTTTATGAGTTTTACATTTGCTCATAGCACTTTCTCAGTGAATTACAAAACAAAATGACTACCTTCTAGGCTGAGGGCAGTGTGCCTTCCCATTGCATACTATCCAGAACTCTTCAGCTAGTCATCTTTAACTGATTATCCTTCTAAGAGCAAATATGTCAGTTGAGCAAGACAAAACAAATAAATGTAAAGATATTTACTTGGCAGTATCAATTAAACAACTAAGTACAGTCACGTCAAAAAGAGAAAACCACTTTCCACACTGCCATTAAAACTGCAAATGAAATACAATGAGCTTGACTAAAAGAAAAAAAACCTTCTACCACAAAACAGCTCTCCTCTGAGGATTCCACACAAGATATACTTCTTATCACATCAAATATAGTACGTAAATGTGCTCCCCACAATGACCAATTCATTTTAAAATCTGCTTAAGAGTAATTAGAGGTTCCTCTACATATAACCTCTGAAATAAAGTTTTAGAACCTGTAAAACCTATCCTAATTTATTTAAAATAGCCTACCTAACACCAACTGTTTTATTTTATAAGATTATGATATGCAGTAAACATTTACTGTGCATCAAGAGTAAAATCAATGACTTAGTCAACAAGCTCTACCCACTATAGCATATTACTTTCAATTTACTTTAAATGCAGTATTGTAACTTTGACATCTTTGCAAGTAATAAAATTGCTTCTATAAATTAATCTACTATGGAGACATTTTAAATAAATCCATGAGTGTTCCAATCAAATTACATGTCTACCAAATTAGACAATGCCATTTGGGAATAATTTCCCTTAATTGTTCTGTCCAGTGATGCTATTTTTACATTCTTTAACAATTACCTAAACAACAAAACAGGGATAGGGAGAAGGAGAGGACCAACATAAACCAGCTATCATTCCATCTCTTTCTACTACAGACCTCCTGAAAAAGATATGGGCAAAACAGTGTAGCACACGAAAACTAAAATTTGCCTTTTAATATAGTGACTAGGGTGGTGAAAAGTTTCATATTGAATGAACCATGGTTTGGTTTGGTTTGATTTTTGTCTGAAGGAAAGAAATGACAAGGCTGGCTTAAAATTACTGTAGTTAGTCTCTACAGAGACTAAAATAGTGGTTTTTAATGTCAAGAAAACTGTAAGCATTATGATGAACTCTAATGGGAAAGTCAGCCTTCAGTGTTTAAACTATTGCTTCTTCTAATTGATATGTTTCCTACAGCATAGCTTTTCATTCTATCTTAAGGTAAAAAACACTAATACAGTAACTGGAAGCTTTGCCTTTGTGAAGTAAAAGACCTCACTGAATGTTTTCTGAAAGAACCAAAATGAGAATGTGTAGATGTGTATGAAGTGCTGCCAGATGAGGAGTGCCCTGCATCATAGCCATAAGATCGCCAGCATCGTACAGCTCCCCCTACCCCTTCTCGTTTCTTTTCTTTCGTTTTAATTTGAGCACAGTTCATTACTATAGGAAGAAAACATTCTTCCCATTACTAAATGAGGATTCTGTTAAAGCAAAAAAAACTATTGAAAAAAGGTACCTAAATACCTGATATATTTTGTATACTACAATATTATGACTACACTTATTATCAGAGGGCAGAACTGAAAATAAGAGTTAGTAGTTTCAGCTGGGTGCAGTCGTGCATCCCTGTAATCCCAGCAGCTTGGGAGGCTGAGGCAGGAGGATCACAAGGTCAAAAACAGCGTCAGCAAAAGTGAGGCACTAAGTAACTCAGTTGAGACCCTGACTCTAAATAAAATACAAAATAGGGCTGGGGATGTGGCTCAGTGGTTGAGTGCCCCTGAGTTCAATCCCTGGTACCACCCCCATAAAAGGTTAGCAGTTGCAATGAGATAAATTTTGGCTCGATTAAAAATCATTTTTAGGGCTGGGGTTGTGGCTCAGTGGTAGAGTGCTTGCCTAGCACGTGTGAGGCACTGGGTTCGATTCTCAATACCATATATATAAATGAATAAAAGAAAGGTCCAGCAACATCTAAAAAAATTTAAAAAAAAAACAACATTTTATTATTAGAGATACCCATAGCACTGGTCTTTTTGTAAGACATCAAATCTTTTCAAGATGAGGCTGTGGTATAACTAGGGTAACCTATTTTTCCCAGGACACTTTCACTTTATATCTCTTGTTCCAGAGACCCACCCAATTTACCCACCACTTTCATTCTCAAAAATGTTTAAATTTGATAGTCAATACATATAATAAAATTCCAGTCTTTAATAAGATATTACAGAGTAGATGCCAAAGGTTCCTCCAAACTCTTAGTAATACTGTCACTAATAAAAACTTATAGTAATTTCTATCATTCTAAATTTCCTTATTTAACATCTTATTTAAACAAGAAAGACTGGAGTTATAACTAAAATCAAATGGCTCAGTGGTAGTTTCAAGTCAAGTTTCTCATCTAAGTTAACTGAGGAGACAGTGAACTACCTATCTGTGCTGCTAGGCATTAGATAGCACAGGTGCTAGGCAGTCTCTACAGACAGCCCAGCTGTTCTGAACCAACAGCTCACAAGAAAGATTCCTACATACCCATGTTGCTCAGCAAATGGAGTTAGATTTTCCACCAATAAAACTGAATTATAGCAGTTTTTCTCATACACACACAGCATTAAGCACATAAGCAGAATTTTCTCAAATTTAGTTTTCCGAATATTTTTTCCACTAAACCTTTAATACCTCTAGACTCTTTTAGAGATGGTGGGAGCAAGCATTTGACAAAACAAAAATATGAACAATTAGTAAACAAATGTATAGACAGCCAATGAATATCAATGAAAAACTGCAAGTTAATAAATAATGCCTAATTCTCAACTTTTTGTTTGAATATGCACTCAAGAATTGTGTTATTTTATATTTCATAATATAGGGAAATTTTCTGCTAGCAAAAACATTTCTTGTTGGTATAACAAAACATGTTAGTATTTCATGGTGCTCTACAAAAGAGGACTATGAGTTCCAGATGCTTGCTTC